ACTAAAGCATCCAGTGCAAGCGGTAAGGTCGTTGGCACTGGCGTCGGCCTCTCCAAATCCGCAGTCTGCAACCTTGACATTGCAGGGAGTTTGCAACGGCAACCCAGACGGCGTTTATCGGTCTCGCTCGCAAAGGTCCTGCAGTGTAGCCTTCCAACGGATAAGGCTCTTTTGTCGCGGGCTGGCATGCATATCGTGGATCCGCTGTCGTTCAGGTTGTTGGCTTGTAAGAGCGGGATATGTCGCTTGAGCATGAAGCGTGATTGCATACAAGGGTGACGGTGGTCCAAGGACCCAAGGCCACACCGGTGACGTCTGCACGGCCTCAGCTAGCACGTTTCTTGCAAGGATGTAAGTGATGGCCATACCTTAAGAGGCCTCCGGGCAGTGTGGGGATCTGTTGTTGGCGCACAGGCTTGGCGTGCTCAGTGATGCTCCAACTAACTGAGGACTGTGGGGCTGTCACAGGTCGCAAGCTATGGCCACGAGACTGCAATGACCACTTGTCGGTTCTGTCAGAAGCTTCTTGATTTGGCATAGGCCTCAACATCGTAGCATGACTCGCAAACATGTTCCTAGTCCAAGGTGTTGAGGTTCGCCGGATTCCGTCTGTGCGATTTCTCTGTAAGGGCCCAGCTCAGCTGGAAAGAGTGATTCCGAGCTTCTTCAACGTTCGAACTTGACTTCGGTGCCGGGCATCGGCACTTTCCTGAAAGTCAAAGTCGGGGGACGCTGACGAAAGCATCCAGTGCAAGCGGTAAGGTCGTTGTCACTGGCGTCGGCCTCTCCAAATCCGCAGTCTGCAACCTTGACATTGCTGGGAGTTTGCAACGGCAACCCAGACGGCGTTTATCGGTCTCGCTGGCAAAGGTCCTGCAGTGTAGCCTTCCAACGGATAGGGCTCTTTTGTCGCGGGCTGGCATGCACATCATGGATCCGCTGTCGTTCAGGTTGTTGGCTTGTAAGACCGGGATTTGTCGCCGCATGAAGCGTCATTGGATACAAGGGTGATGGTGATCTGTAGCGCCGAGCAAGTGCCTTCCGCTCCCAATAACGTATGGGTACGTCAACGGCGACTGAGTAGCTTGACCTGGAAATCGGCAGGGGCGTTGCAGACCGCCAATTGCAGACAAGCACCTCCTGCAGCACATGATGCAGTTGTTGACATGCGTGGCAGAGGACATCTTGGACCGACCGCTGTTGCTGGGCTTCTCTTCGGATGCTCTACGAGGTTGATTCATGGCTTAGAGCTTGTGAAAGGTTCCGAGTGCCTCGTCCGTTCCCGGCAACTCTGTAAGCAAGTTCAGCTTGGAAGGCTGGAGCGGTTCAGGTTTGCTGTTCATCTGTTTCGATTTGTGAGAAAGCTGGGGGCAGCAAACAAATGCACGTCTCCCCCACACTTCTCGCGCTCTCTAGCAGATGCAGGTGGGAAAACTAGCTGTAGTAGCATGGAATTGCTACGACCGAGACGGGGTGCACGGAGCGGTTGCAGACTGCAGCTTGCAGACAAGCACCGCCTGCAGCACATGATACGGTTGTGTTGACATGCGTGGCAGAGGACTTCTTGCACCGACCTCTGTCTCTCGGGATGTTCCGCGAGGTTGAATGGCCTAGAGCTTGACAAAGGTTCCGAGTGCCTCGTCCATGCCCGGCAACTCTTTAAGCAAGTTGGGCCTCGAATGCTGGAGCGGTTCAGGTCCTGTCGGTTTTCAGAAGGCTGGGGGCCAAAATGCATTTCTCCCCTACACTTCTCGTGGTCTCTAGCAGATGCAGGTGGGAAAGATAGCTGCAGTAGCAAGGAATTGTTACGATCGAGAAGGGGTGAACCAGTGAATGCTGCTTGTGGGACCGACACTACGCTTTTGGGATGTGACCGAATCTCGTGCCAGCCTCGGGGTAGAGTCTGGTAGAGGTGCCCACCAGAGACGCACAGGTTCCGTACCCCTGGCAGCCCCAACAAGCGAGAAGGCTGGGGGCAGCAAACAAATGCAGGTCTCCCCCACACTTCTCATGCTCTCTAGCAGATGCAGATGGGAAAGCAAGCTGCAGTAGCAAAGACTTGTTGCAAACGAGAAGGGGTGCACCAGGGAATGTTGCTTGTGGAACCGACACCCCGCTAACGGAGTGTAACCGAATCTCATTCGACCCTCGGGGTAGATCGATAGAGATGCGTGCCAGGGACATGCAGGTTCCATGCCCCTGTCAGCCACAGCAAGTAGGCAAGCAAGACTCATCCCGGTTTTGCTCGGCGTTTTTGCTCGGCCGGCCACCTGTTGAAAACAACGGAAGCGGTAGGTCGTATGCCCGACAAGTGTGTGCGAGCGTTGTGATCTACTTCTTGCTTGCTGGTTGGAAGTGTTGCGGTCTCGGAGCCCAGTAGTGAATCAAAAGCCCTCTTGACAGTCAGTTTACGTTTTTTCGATGCAGTGCCCTGTTGCAGAATGCTGCTTTGGCGCAAGTGCTGTCATGAGGGTTGCGTGTCGAGTTGTTTGCGCCGCAACTGTAGCCAGCTCTGAGCGAGACTCAGGCCAGTGCTTCCGGCTTGTCTTGCACAGGGTCTGAGTTCTGCCACGAGTACTTCGTCCTGGTATGCACAATGGCTCGTGCAATGCTCCGGCGGCCACCAGAGCTTATCCTGGCCACAGATGTGTGCTTCAGGCCATCACTCACGTGAATCAGGGTGACAGCGTTTGCAGTGGAGTCTACTTGTACAAGCTGCAAGAAGCAGCTCCGGGGCACCAGGCCTTGCACTGGAACAAGCTTTGAGCAAGTCTCAGGCCAGTGTTTCCGCCTTGTCTTGCACCGGGTATGCACTCTGCCATGTCTACTTCGTCCTGGTATGCACAATGTCTCACCCAATCCTCCGGCGCTCAGAAGCAGCTATCCTGGCCACCGCATCACTCAGACGAAGCGGGGTGGTGCTGCGAGTAGGCAGAGTCAACTTCTAGCAGCCACAAGAAGCAGCTTTACGGCACCAGGCCGTTCCCACGTTGCCAGACATGCCTCGGAACAACTGCGAAGATCTCTTCGGGTAGGCTCTTGTTCAGAGAGTTTGCGACCAGGTACAAGAGGCTCTTCGAGTTGTCTCCTAGATGTGCTCCAGGTCAAGCTGTCCTATTCTCGTCAGCATAGACTTTTATGTCGAGCGGTGTGCAGCGGTTCCCTGAAGCTGCAACATCAACTGCCGAAGGCTAGCCTCCTTGGCTTCCGATCTCTCATTGAAGTCAGAAGTCAGGATGCTTCGTTCCCAGCAAGAGGATGCCGAGTCGATCATGAGTCGGTATTTGCACTTCTGTGCATGCAGCGCATTGCCAGTCTGCATCTCGTGCGTGATGCGGCTCGAGCAAAGTATGGCTTGCAAGTTCAGATCGAGTGCCGAAGGGGTTCTGAAATCTCGAGGCCATGTTCCGTGTTTGTCTCTAGCGACTGGTTGAACGCTTCGCCGGTCAGACTCGGACAAAGGGGTTCGTGTGATGGAGGGGTTCTAGAGAGGCATCGGAGCCACTGTGCGTTTCACGCGCAAGGATTTGCCGCCTCAGTGCATCAGAGTCAGTGGCACAAGGAAGTTCCCCTTTCAGATAGTCACCCTCGCTTGGATGCCTACATCCTATCACCCTTGTAGCTGCTCACCGCAACGACCTCATCGACACACCACAGGGCGCTCTGGAGGGCAACGATGATGCCTATGCGCACGCTTACATCGCGCCGGGAGCCCGCATCTTTCATCTGCCAGTCGCCTGTTACACCCGAGCTCCAGGGCCGCGTCGTTGCCTGGTCACGTGAGAGAGGTGCCTTTGCAACGATCTGCTGGAGCCCTGACCCTCTTTTGTCCACGCGTGGGTGCGCCCGCTTCCCTCATCTCGTCAGGTTTGGACTTCGTCTGTCGTTCCTTGCATTGATCTTGCACTGTCCTTCTGGCCTGCATCACACTCCGGTGAGCCCTGGGGAGACAAGGATCTCGGCTCCTTTCTTAGTTTTCGTGCTGTTACATAGCTCATCCCGCACAGAACATTAGTTTAAGTTGAGCACTGCCTTGCTCTTTCGCCGGCACGGCCACATGCACATCAAACAGGTAGCAGAATCCTTGGCGGCGCGAGGCACGGAGATGCAGACTCCGCTGCCCCTTTCAGGATGCTGTGGTCCCTTGGCTCTTGGTTGTTCATCTGGCTGGTCACCCGCCGTGAGAAAGCGGATTTGACGGGGCGTCATGCGTGCCGAGGCTGGCAGCAAGCTATTCCTGGGCCGCAGGACATGCCATCTGATCTGGCAGTCTTGACGGTAGGTACGCAGCTTTGATGACGGCTGAGTCTAAGTTGAGCCTTGCCTTCAGTCGCTCGTGATGCCAATTCACTACCACAGAATCTCGTGTAATGCGCATGAGGAGAGATAACTGCCACGAGCCGCTGACGAGTATGTCATGGCTGCGATCGAGCTGAAGGCAAACTCACAACATCCTACCACCCTCAACTGTTGCACGAATTGTCGAACCCATCGCCGCGGTTGATGGATGGTCGTGGATGCAATGCTGATCACGAGTACTTGTGTGTTGATACTCATCACTTCGCTTGCAACTCAACGCCACAGGCAATCGTGGCATGATATTACCTCACCTGTCCCCCATACTACACCTAACGCCCAGACGTCATGTCCAACTGCTGAAGGTTCTTCGCCGGCAAGCAGAGTACCAGCTCAGAACCGCCATCATGAAGGCAGTTCGGCTGCAGGCCTGATCAAGGGTTCGTGCTTGGCAAGCGGACTGGGGAAGGTCGACCATGCCCTTCTTTATGCACTGCCCTGAAGAGCTGCGAGAGCTTTTGTGAGCATTAGCACGTCTCCCTGTGTCATGTCGCCCTTGTCCCTTTCTCAGAGTCCGTCAAAACAGTGCAATATGTGAGCAGCTGTAGCCACATCACCGATTGCCGTTGCCCATACGTGATGCGGCGTTTCCGAGCTTTCGGTCCACCAAGCTGCTAGATTCAGGTTCGGCGGCAAGTGCTGTCCTATCCCGGCAATTGGCACTGGTTCGTGTGGGCATCGTCCCAAGCCGTCGTCGTGGAACGAAGGCGTTGTGTCATGTTCAAAACAACCTCTGCGACAGCATTGCCACAGATTTTGCCGTCATGTCGTGCGACGTCGTTTGCGGCATCAAACATCTGATAAGGTGCAGTTTGTTCGTGTGCCCTCGCGTGAAGTCTTTGGTGGTGCAGTCGCGAGCATGCGGTGGCCTTCCGTTTTGGCTCTACAGTTGCACTAGCAGTGAATGCACAGCTTTCGCAGCCGGTCGCATTTTCGCAGTGCATCGCGAGCGCTGAACAATCGGCACAGCGCAGCCGGCGCCAATTTATCGTGTCCGTCGTTCTAGCCAAAAAGTGATCATGGTGGTGCTACCTCAAAGCTGATGGCGCTTTTGTCGTGCCCTGGGCGATCAGCACATTTGTATTCCTCGTTGAAGGTTCGTCTGCCGTGGCTTCTTCTTCAGGGCTCTCGCACGATGTCGCAGGTAAATGTTGGCAGGCTTAGAGCGCAGTTCCACCTGTAATCGCAGGGCGTCAGAGGACTTCGCAAGTAGCAGAGTTGCACAGATGTTGAGCGGGTGAGTTCTGAAAGGCGTTTCCGGAGTTTGCCTCGTGGCCCTCTGCGAGAGCTCTGCAGCCTCACCCTTGTGCCGAAGACTTGTCCAGGTACTGACTGCATCGACAGCTGCCTAGGCACTTTACTGCGTCGTTCGCTTTTGCAAGAGCCCTCCCTGCACTCGTGCTGAGTTTCTTCCTGGGCCTCGGTGTATGGTTAGTTGAGGTGCATCGGGGCACAGGGCTGGTTTCAGTTGGAGGTCCGCAGCTTCACAGCGAAGAAGTTCGTGATCATGCAGTTTTGCGGGAGTTTCGCACATGTGAGCACGCAAGGCTGTGCACGCTCTGCCGTTGTGCAGTTGTTGAAGCTGTGACGGATGCAAGACCCGTGGCCAGCAGATGTGCTGTGGCATGGCGGCATCTGGCAGCAGACAATTTCCACAGGTCTTTCGCCGACAGTCGCCCAGCGCGGTCGTCGTCCTGCCCAAAGAGCAGCATTGCCATTGCGGCAGAGCTGATTTCGCTCTTGTCGCCCACGTCCAGGTCCAGGGACCTCACGCCGAATGCGATGAATTCATTTGCATCTAGTCGGAGGCCTGCAGCAAGGCCAGATGTATGCGTGGCTCTTCCTGGCTGAAGGTCCTGACAGTGGACCGGCAATCACTGGACGTCGCAGGACTTCACAAGTATCAGAGGTTCAAGGATGCTAAGCGGATGACTTCTATCACCCTTGTGTCGAGGACTTGCCCAGGTACTGACTGCATCGACAGCTGCCTAGGCGCTTTACTGCGTCGTTCGCTGTTACAAAAGCCCTGCCGGCATTCTTGCTGAGTTTCTTCTTGGGCCTCGGTGTATGGTTTGTTGAGGTGCGTCGGGGCACGGGGGAGGTTTCCAAGAAGCTTGTGATCATGCGGTTGCAGGCAGCTACTGCACCACTCAAAACAGTTCCAGGACTAGACTAGGCTAGCCACCAAGCTGCTACTCCCTGCTAGGCTCGTATCTGGGCTGTTGGCACTGTCCCGCGTGGGTATCGTTCCAGCCGGTCGATGCGCGACGAAGGCGTCGTGTCATTTGCACAACCCCTGCCACAGAATTTCCACAGAGCTGGTCGCCTTCTTATCGTGCGACATCGTTTGCGGCATCGGACATCTGATAGGGTGCAGTTTGGTCAGTCTTTGGCGTTGCACTCGCGAGCATGCACTGGCCTTCCGTTTTGGCTCTACAGTTGCGCTGCTGATGAATGCTCCAGGGCCAGTGCAGCAGCGATTTTGCAAAAATGCTTGATGCCGGCTCAATGCCACGAGCTTTCGTGGCGTGGCAGCTAGCAGTGGACAGCCTCCGCGCAGGTTTCACAGCCGGTCGCATAGCGACGACATCGTTATGTCATGCAAGAGTCCCCCTGCAGCAGCGTTGCGTCCGAGTGGGCGGTGCGCTTATCCAAGTACCGCGGCGGTCACTCGAGACCTGATCTTCAAGGTGTCCAGCTCTGTAACAAGACGTCGCAGGCAAACGTTGGCAGGCCTAGAGCGCAGTGCGCCCATAATCGCAGGGCGTCGCTGGATTTCACAGAGGCCAAGCGGGTGAGCTCTGAAAGGCGTTTCCGGAGTTTGCCTCGTGGCCCTCTGCGAGAGCTCTGCAGCCTCACCCTTGTGCCGAAGACTTGTCCAGGTACTGACTGCATCGACAGCTGCCTAGGCACTTTACTGCGTCGTTCGCTTTTGCAAGAGCCCTCCCTGCACTCGTGCTGAGTTTCTTCCTGGGCCTCGGTGTATGGTTAGTTGAGGTGCATCGGGGCACAGGGCTGGTTTCAGTTGGAGGTCCGCAGCTTCACAGCGAAGAAGTTCGTGATCATGCAGTTTTGCGGGAGTTTCGCACATGTGAGCACGCAAGGCTGTGCACGCTCTGCCGTTGTGCAGTTGTTGAAGCTGTGACGGATGCAAGACCCGTGGCCAGCAGATGTGCTGTGGCATGGCGGCATCTGGCAGCAGACAATTTCCACAGGTCTTTCGCCGACAGTCGCCCAGCGCGGTCGTCGTCCTGCCCAAAGAGCAGCATTGCCATTGCGGCAGAGCTGATTTCGCTCTTGTCGCCCACGTCCAGGTCCAGGGACCTCACGCCGAATGCGATGAATTCATTTGCATCTAGTCGGAGGCCTGCAGCAAGGCCAGATGTATGCGTGGCTCTTCCTGGCTGAAGGTCCTGACAGTGGACCGGCAATCACTGGACGTCGCAGGACTTCACAAGTATCAGAGGTTCAAGGATGCTAAGCGGATGACTTCTATCACCCTTGTGTCGAGGACTTGCCCAGGTACTGACTGCATCGACAGCTGCCTAGGCGCTTTACTGCGTCGTTCGCTGTTACAAAAGCCCTGCCGGCATTCTTGCTGAGTTTCTTCTTGGGCCTCGGTGTATGGTTTGTTGAGGTGCGTCGGGGCACGGGGGAGGTTTCCAAGAAGCTTGTGATCATGCGGTTGCAGGCAGCTACTGCACCACTCAAAAAAGTTCCAGGACTAGACTAGAGTAGCCACCAAGCTGCTACTCCCTGCGAGGCTCGTATCTGGGCTGTTGGCACTGTCCCGCGTGGGTATCGTTCCAGCCGGTCGATGCGCGACGAAGGCGTCGTGTCATTTGCACAACCCCTGCCACAGAATTTCCACAGAGCTGGTCGCCTTCTTATCGTGCGACATCGTTTGCGGCATCGGACATCTGATAGGGTGCAGTTTGGTCAGTCTTTGGCGTTGCACTCGCGAGCATGCACTGGCCTTCCGTTTGGGCTCTACAGTTGCGCTGCTGATGAATGCTCCAGGGCCAGTGCAGCAGCGATTTTGCAAAAATGCTTGATGCCGGCTCAATGCCACGAGCTTTCGTGGCGTGGCAGCTAGCAGTGGACAGCCTCCGCACAGGTTTCACAGCCGGTCGCATAGCGACGACATCGTTATGTCATGCAAGAGTCCCCCTGCAGCAGCGTTGCGTCCGAGTGGGCGGTGCGCTTATCCAAGTACCGCGGCGGTCACTCGAGACCTGATCTTCAAGGTGTCCAGCTCTGTAACAAGACGTCGCAGGCAAACGTTGGCAGGCTTAGAGCGCAGTGCGCCCATAATCGCAGGGCGTCACTGGATTTCACAGAGGCCAAGCGGGTGAGTTCTGAAAGGCGTTTCCGGAGTTTGCCTCGTGGCCCTCTGCGAGAGCTCTGCAGCCTCACCCCTGCGCCGAAGACTTGTGTTGGTGCTGCGTGCTTCGACGGCTGCCTAGGCACTTTACTGCGTCGTTCGCTTTTGCAAGAGCCCTCCCTGCACTCGTGCTGAGTTTCTTCCTGGGCCTCGGTGTATGGTCAGTTGAGGTGCATCGGGGCACGGAGGAGGTTGCCAAGAAGCTTGTGATCATGCAGGTTGCAAATGCTCATGTGTGCACGTGTCGCCTTTGTCAGGCAGCAACTGCACGACTCAATAGCTCCAGAGCAAGTGCACCCAGAAAGCTGCTAGATTCGGGTTCGACAGCAAGTGCTGTCGTATCTCGACAGTTGGCGCTGGTTCGTGTGGGCATCGTCCCAAGCCGTCGTCGTGTAACGAAGGCGTCGTGTCATGTTCAAAACAACCTCTGCGACAGCATTGCCACAGATTTTGCCGTCATGTCGTGCGACGTCGTTTGCGGCATCAAACATCTGATAAGGTGCAGTTTGTTCGTGTGCCCTCGCGTGAAGTCTTTGGCGTTGCGCTCGTGCGGTGGCCTTCCGTTTGGGCCGGCTCTACAGTTGCGCTGCTGATGAATGCTCCAGGGCCAGTGCAGCAGCGATTTTGCAAAAATGCTTGATGCCGGCTCAATGCCACGAGCTTTCGTGGCGTGGCAGCTAGCAGTGGACAGCCTCCGCACAGGTTTCACAGCCGGTCGCATAGCGACGATATCGTTATGTCATGCAAGAGTCCCCCTGCAGCAGCGTTGCGTCCGAGTGGGCGGTGCGCTTATCCAAGTACCGCGGCGGTCACTCGAGACCTGATCTTCAAGGTGTCCAGCTCTGTAACAAGACGTCGCAGGCAAACGTTGGCAGGCTTAGAGCGCAGTGCGCCCATAATCGCAGGGCGTCACTGGATTTCACAGAGGCCAAGCGGGTGAGTTCTGAAAGGCGTTTCCGGAGTTTGCCTCGTGGCCCTCTGCGAGAGCTCTGCAGCCTCACCCTTGTGCCGAAGACTTGTGTTGGTGCTGCCTGCTTCGACGGCTGCCTAGGCACTTTACTGCGTCGTTCGCTTTTGCAAGAGCCCTCCCTGCACTCGTGCTGAGTTTCTTCCTGGGCCTCGGTGTATGGTCAGTTGAGGTGCATCGGGGCACGGAGGAGGTTGCCAAGAAGCTTGTGATCATGCAGGTTGCAAATGCTCATGTGTGCACGTGTCGCCTTTGTCAGGCAGCAACTGCACGGCTCAGAACAGCTCCTGGAGCGACGACATCGCTATGTCATGCAAGAGTCCCCCTGTGGCAGAGTTGTTTTGCAGGTCGTGAGCGCACGATGAAGGCATCGTGTCACTTGCACACTACTGCTACAGAAGTGGTGGTCCGCTTGTTGGGCGATATCGTGTTTGGCATGGGAGCTCCTGAGCCGCGCAGTGAACGGGTATGCCGACGTGTACAGCGCATCTTGCAGTCGCGGCCATGTTGCCTGCAAGTCCTTTTTGCTCCCGCTTGCAGCGGCTTTGCCTCCGGGCCTGCGGGCAAGTTCCATTCGACACCTCGCACGATTTAGATTCGGCTGCATGTTGTGGCTGTTGCGACAGGCGGAACAGCCCTAGGTTGCATGGACAGGTCGGAGCTCTCGTCGTCAACAAGTTCGGAGCAGAGAGTTTGCAATCAAAGCACGTGAGAAGCAAAAAGCGTCAGAGATGGACCAGCTCTGAGAATGACGGCCCTCTGTGACAGGGTTGAGAGCTGCATCGCAGACTCCGAGGAAGCCCCGAGTCGTGTTCTTGAGCAGTGCTTGGGTGCTTCCCAGTGTTCTGAGTGATGCACTGCAGAAGTTGCAAAATCTAGTGCTTGCAGCCGAGACCTAGGCTGAGCCCAGAGCTCCGGCCACCGGCCGTGAACAGAGCCCGCCCCTGCAAGAATGCGCCTCAGAAATCGGCAGGCTCCACCGTGGCACTTTGGCACACTCCTCCACTTCCTGCTAGGCCGGTAGCCTCGTAAGCTCAAGACTCGACAGGACGGATTCGGCCCTTCTCCTTTTGCAGTGAGTTGAATACCCCATTCTCCAGTCCCTTTCGCGTGTCTGTACCCGTGCCAAACCTGCACCGCAGGTAGGAGCTTTGAAAGGGCCCTCCGGACAGATTCGCAATCTTTGATGCAAAGCATGCACCTGCCGGCACAGTCTTCATTGGGATTCTAGAAGTGTGTTCTGCAAGCATCCACCACCCTGGACCTGCCGACGCCACAAGCTTCGGGAGTTGTTTCTGGCTGAAGTTTGGTCTAGGCGCACCACAGGCGGACTCGGCCCTTGTTTTCGTGACAGCAGCGACTGCGAGTTTCCGTTGTGCACATCTTTGGCGGCCACCTCCGTAGGGGCTGCATGATAAGATCATCGTTAATTCAACGAACGAAGTCACGATGGCGTCAGACACATCGCACTGGCCCAGCCAGCATACAATCCCCTGGCTCATCCGCACCGTCTTTGGTTTGCAAAGCCATCTAGGACCTCTAGACAGCTGTCGCATGGGCCTCGGTTCCTTGCACTCCTGCCGAGCTGCTGGAGCTCCTATGAAGCTGTCGCTCTCGGGGCTCTGGCATGGCTTCTTCCATTGATTTGTGCTGGGTAGCCGCTTATATGCCTGCACAGACGGAGTATGGCCCAATGTCGCTCTGGGTCAGCGCCAGTGGTCCGAGTAACACTAAAGCTTGCTGCTCTTAACTTGTCCAGAGTTGACTCACCAGCCCAATGGTTGTCGATGGAATGCAAGGTGTGCTTCGTTTGCACCTCCAGCACGGGCCACCTACCAAAAGTAATTTATCTTCTATCTCGGGCTTTGGTCTACCGCAGAAGGTCGCGGCATTCTGAAGTGTCATCGGCCCAGTCAATGATGCAGTGACGGTGAGCGCTGCTCCGGGCATTGGGGCTTGCTGCTCATTCCTCCTGGGCTGCCGGAGCATGCCGGAGCGGCCCAGAACTCGTCGCAACGCAAGCTGTGCTTCGTTGGCACCTCTAACACAGCCCAGTTACCAGTACTGGTAATAGTTTACCTTCTATCTCGGTCTGCTTTGCTATACCGCAGAGTGTCATCGGCCCAGTCAATGATGCAGTGACGGTGAGTGCTGCTCCGCACATTGGGGCTTGCTGCTCATTCCTCCTGGGCTGCCGGAGCGTGCCTCGTCGCAACGCAAGCTGTGCTTCGTTGGCACCTCCAGCACAGCCCAGGTACCAGTACTCGTAATAGTTTATCTTCTATCTCGGGCTGCTTTGGCATACACCAGAGTGTCATCGGCCCAGTCAATGATGCAGTGACAGTGAGCGCTGCTCCGGGCATCGGGGCTTGCTGCTCATTCCTCCTGGGCTGCCGGAGCATGCCGGAGCGGCCCAGAACTCGTCGCAACGCAAGCCGTGCTTCGTTGGCACCTCCAACACAGCCCAGTTACCAGTACTCGTAATAGTTTACCTTCTATCTCGGGCTGCTTTGGTATACCGCAGAGTGTCATCGGCCCAGTCAATGATGCAGTGACGGTGAGTGCTGCTCCGCACATTGGGGCTTGCTGCTCATTCCTCCCCACACGCGGCGTTGATGCCTCCGTTCGCTCCATGTTGAGAATGTCCGAGCAGCCCTCGATCTTGGCGCAGTCGGGAAGGTGTCCTCAAGATCATCTTTTGTTGGTCCTGATGCCCCTAATCTGGGTTGTCTACAGCAGATGCTCGCAGTGCTCTCGAGCGTGGCTGCCAGAGCTAGCTTCTTCGAGTCGGCAATAACTTGCAAAACTTAGGCAAACCTTTCATTCTGCACTGGAGGAGCCTTCTTTTTTGCCGCGCTTAGCGCACAAGGAAGCAATGCTTTCTTGTGTCCAATCATGCAACTTCGCTGGTGTTGTTTAGAAGCGCCCATGCAATTGACCTGCTGCCACACCCCGAGGTAGAAGCAACTTCAATGTCGCGGTGAGGCCTGTGCACACTTGGCGAGGTTAGTATGTCCGTGACATTTGAAGATGCCAGCTTCCTGGCAGCGACTTCTTCCTAGAAAGGTATATAGACCACCTCCAGGCTAAGCAGGCGATTGCCGACCATAGCCCGACACAGCCATGGCCCTTTGCACTTTGCCCACGTGGCAGCGCCCACGGCCGTGTCGTGTCGTATTTCTGAAGGCCTGAAGGCCTTGGCCCACGTTGGGAGCTGCCCTAGTCCAGGGAACGGGCTCACTGCGACATGGCTGCTTCGTCTGTAGCCAAGGCGACGGGCTGTGTGAAGGCATAAAGTACACTGAAATGACGCATAAAGCCGACAGCGCCAAGAACGCCTTGAAGCAGTCGAAGCACTGGCGGCGGCCAGTAGATCTGGCGGAAGACCAGTTCGTTGTGTCGCATCTGAGCATGACAAGATGAAGATGATGGACGGCTCCCGCGCCATGACGTGTAAAGGACTGCCTGGTTTTGAGATTCCACGTGCCTTGTCACCAGTACATGGAAAGCAAGTGTCCAGGCATGAGGCCTGCTTTCCCAACTTCCTCGCCTTACGAATGTCCAGGTGCTTTAGCCGATCGTAGCAGGCCTGGTCGAGGATGCCGGTGTCTGCTAGCTGATGCTAGCCACTGCTGTCAAGAAACTCACCCATGCAAGGCATACAACACTGTTGGGAGGCTTTCCGAAGAGAGACGATTCTTGACGCCTCCGGAAAACAGAGTGCTGTGTCGCCTGAAGCTGCTGGCCTCGTGCATCCGCCAGTCTTGGCCAGCTCCGCCTCTGTCCACCAATGCTGATTTTTGACTTAGTTTCGGCTTCTTTGGAAGCCCTCAAGACAACCCATGACTCTTGATGCATGTTTGCCAGCCGTCGGCTGCGACGGATTTTTTGCTGACAGAACTTTTTGGCAAGCTTGCTACCATTGTGTCAGCTGGCTTTGTGGTCCAAAGCTTCAGATCCTCCTGTCCTACTGTCTCGAGCTAGCTTCCGAGTCGCCTTTGATCGGCGAAGCGAGGGGACGGCGAGCGCCCTGAAGATCTTGGCTTTCGACAGAAGGCCATGTCATTGTCACACAGTCACACACCATGCTAGCATGCGCACCCTGTCCAACTGCGCTTGGGCACCGGTGTTGGAGGCGACTGTAAGGCCCCCCTCCCCGGATGCCTGCAGCTGCCGCTGCTCTTGATACCTCTTCTCGAGCTTTCTGAATGACGAGTCCGAAGGGTCATGTCTGGCGAGGAGCTCTCATGGGATTTGTTGCTGAGTCTGCAAATCCAGTCGCCTTCAAGAGGCCGCAGCTGCAATGAAGCTCGGCTCTTCTCTCACGGCTTGACCCGCCGTCGAAAAGACCTGCCGCTGCCGGAACTTTGCTGTAGCTTCCTAACCAGGGCCCTCTTCCCAAGAAGTGGTAGTCACTATTTGGTTCTTCGGGGAATTGTAGCATGAGCTGTGTGGGCTCAAGCTGAGGAACCATTGTATCTTTTCAGGGGTTGCAGCTGCACTTTTTTTCACAAGCTTGGGCCCGTGTTTACTCAAGCGGGGCTCAATCGGCTTTGGGGGCGGGCGGACAGGGACAGGTCTGTGAAGGAATTACCGGTACTCTACCGTTATACACTTATACCGACA